ATATATATATATATATATACATATATATTCAGCCAAGATTGCAATCAGTATGAATGTATGCCACGATTATTAAGGTAGCGAGGTGCTCAAGGGCAAACGACCCGACAAACAAAAAATTAAAATTCCACAACTGCTGCATAAATTACAATTTTCTCTGCAAACCCCATCGCTTTGCAATAAAAATATCTCCAATGTTTTTTTTAACATAATATATGAATCACTGATTTAGCTGATATTAGAAAATGTTATAAATGTATCCAGTGTATTTTTAGTCACGCTATAAACTCATAAACAGAGCCTCCTTAAAAACACCATTTATGCAAGTTGAAGGGTAAAATACCGAAAATATCTCAAGCCTAAGCTAGATAATAGGGACAAAATTGTAAGACAGTTATTTGTCAACTAATTAATTTGCAACCAATTGCTCGATAAAAATTGGAAATTGTAGACGTAAAATCACCCAGAAATTTTGGCGTTAGATCCAGAATTTTTGAGTTTGAAGGTGAGAAGACAATTGGACTGACTAAAAAGCGGGAAAAGATCTCCATTTTTAATGAAATGTGTCCTTTATGATGATTAATTTTGTCGTTATATTGACTAGAACCACCTCCCACCCCCCACAACCCATCTCCCACCCCCCCCCACACACATGCAAGTTTTATTACAACGAAAATAAACAACTCAAGGCATATTTGTGGTTTTCTAATCGAGTTTGCCTGTTTCCTTCTTCCGTCTACCACGTGGAGAGAAAATTTCACTCAATCTCTCCGGCTTGGTTAGGGAGAAATTCTTTCCAGGTAATTTCTGGCTTCGTGTGAGAAAAGGGAAAATTGACTAGTAAGGAGAGAGACCTTATCTTTTCGTCATCTCATGGCAAAACTTCTTCTCCTTCTTCATCTTCCAATCCTGAGAGTATTTCCACTTTAGGTTTCTCAAAAATTCATTTAAAAGAAAATACCTAGGAAAAATTCTTTACGATTTTTTGCCCATTTTTTTAAAAATTAAAGTAGCAACATTTATTAATGTCTAATAATGGCGAGCTCTCTTTAAGATTAAGGAATTTCAATCGGTTTACTTACTTGAGGTATTTTGAAGTATTTACGATCCCATGGACCGATGAAAGTCATGATACAATGGATTAGGACACCGAGAGCGTTGGGTTTTCTTATAATCTTGACGTTAACAGAGACAACCTGTCTCATCCAATCTCATAAATCACAAAGTTTCGGATGTATTCCCCTGAATGTGCACCTTCAAGAATGAAATTTTGGCCCACGGTAGAATATCCTGCATGATGACCTTCAAAACAAAGTACCTGGTGACCTTGATGTCTTACAAATAATCCCAGTTAACAACTTCAGAACAGAAGGTAAACCATCTTCGCAGCTCAACAGAGTCTGCTATTTTATGTAAATCCCGAAGCTTCATCCATATTCAGCAGCGACCACTTTGGCAGCAGTGCGTTACTTCATCTGACGCATGTTCTTTCAACTGTTAATTGCTAGGCCTAATAGGTTTTAAGTAAAGGATCGCTATAAAGCACCTTTTACAAAATTTAAACTGAGGCGAAGATAACTTTAAAGCATGATTTGAAAAGCAATTCGTCATTTACATTGATATTAAGCAGGGCGATTTACAGTTCACATTGTGAGTCACTTTCTAAGAAGTTAACGAAGCGGATTCAAGCTTCGGAGAACTGGCAAACAGCTTTCGTTTCGCATGAGATGATAACTCTGTTTATTCGCAAAGCAAAACGTAACCCTAAATATTTAATATACTCTAGGAAGATAGCGGTTGAGGTGGCAACACATCCAGACATGTTACTCGATGAAAGGAGCTAAGTTGGCTACATCAATCCAAGCATTTGCTGCAAGAAAAAGTCTACAGGGATTATTACTTTCAGAATTCCTTGAGATCTTTAGAAAAATTCAGATCAGTGATCAGATTCTTCTTCCCCTCAATCATTTCGTCAGCGATGATTTTAACTCGATTGGTTGATTAAGACCTTCGTAACGGCACTTCCACGCCTCCTTTTAATCTCTTAATTACGAAAATCATTGGATTTGAAGTCGAAAACACGGATTTGGATGACTTTTTTGCTAAATAAATAAAAAGGCCATTTGCTTATGTCGCTTCGTGCACTAACTTTAACAACTTAGGCGCATTTTTTGCACACACACAAACACACACCCTTTAAACGTAGTGTCGAAGCGTGCGCGCCTGAGGACAAATTTTGACTCTTTAATGAATTCAAAAATGCCTCGCGCTAATTAAAACAGCCTGTTGACTTAGGGCCAACTTGCATACATCTGGAAAATGTAAGTTAATTTGATGAAATGTCCTACAACTTCGTTTGTAAGGGCATATTTGCATTTGATTGATCAAATTAAGAGGTGATTTGATCGAAGCAAGTTAAGAGGAGGAGTGCTGGTAATTATAATGGCAGAATTTAAAGTGCATATGGCTCTTTAGTTTCAGCATTTGCTTATCGATTATATAATTCAATTTTCTCCTGTATATTGAGTTTTATTTTGCCACATTTTCCTTGCCATAGTTGCGCCACAGACACCTCTACCACAGTTGTTGCCAAGGTTGTTACAACTGAAGAGAGCAATAGCTTACAGTGATCTACTTCACTTGCGTGCTTGGGAACAACTTCATAGTGTGCGAAAAAAGAACATCTCTCACTTATCATTTAAGTGATAACTTACGAGTAACATTGAGGAAGAAGACAAAGTCTGTAGTGCCAATTGAGTTGATTCCAGTGATTTTGTAGCTGCCCATATGTTCAACCCCAACTCTCGGTAGGCGAAGTCTAGCCGGGGTGCCTGCCTCAACTGTCACCCTCTCTGTAATCTCAGTCCATGGCCCGAGATTTTGAGGATCAAATTTTCCGTGGTACCACTTTGCTGAGGTGATGGGCGGATTGCTGATTGGAGTTAAATCCAAGTCCAGATTTGCTCCTAACGGAAGAAAATTGCGAAAATTAATTTCAAATCGAGATCTGAAATATAATGCTATTTATCAGGAGTTCTGTTAAGAATAATTTTAGGATTTTAGCTAATCAAGTTTCTTAGACGAGGTAGTGTCGATTAAAAGGATTAGTTGTTATTCTAAGAAGAACCTCGTGGAAGAAATTTGTTAAGGGAGAAAACACAAACAGAAAAGCTGAAATTGTGCTTAAGTGCTCCAGTAAAGCAAAACATTGCTTGAGACTCAAGCACTCAAACAAAACCATTCAGGGCAACCGCATTACGGAAAGAAGATAGTCACCGCTCTTCTTAATTTGCCCAACATCTCTGGCACGCGGCTTTCCTGCGAAAACGGTTGCTACATCTGACCAAATCACCCCCCCCCCTCCCACCCACTAATTTAACTCACAAATGAAGCATCAAATCTCACTCGTACAGCATGATAAACCGCACATTTGCCCAAATCGCATTCTGTGCTTATTAGGGTTAATCTAAACCTATTTGTGAATAACGAACATTGTTAACACCTCACTCTCCTTATTCTCTTCGTCTCCTTGTATCAACAAGAACTCCACAACTAATTCAACCAATCTCTCCCAATTATACCCCATTTAGCTTTCATTGGTCTTCCCATTTTTTTGCACAGATAGAGGCTATGGGAATATATGGTGAATTGGAAACTCGATAAATCGCAAATCTGCGAGCATAATCAAATAATAAATTTATAGCAGTAGCTAGTCGAATTCGCGCACGACACTACGATACCATCTCCACAATTGCAAATTTGTAAGATGATGGTGGTGGTTGCAAAAAGCCTGTGGAAATAAACTCAGAGGCTACAACTCAAAATATATTTTCCTCTCCTCCACTTCC